CACCTGGCAATTGTGGGTGCTCGGTCAACGTTGGCTCTATGGACAGTCCCGTGGCTACTGTCCGCCCTCATTGTCTCTCCTCTCCGCTCTCCCCATCTCCTGGCCTCACTCTCTTGTTCCAACTCTACCGTCTCAGCCTCGAGGTTTCGGGATTGTGTTTATGTCTCCCAAACTGGCGCTCTCTCCGCCGCAGCTGTCCTATATCTGCCTCAGCGGCTCCCACTTTGATCTTGGCCTATGGCAGTCTCTCTGGCATGTGGTCTCTGCCTCTGTGCCTATCTCTCCCTATCTCTCTGGGTCCCCATCTCTCTCTTGTCTCTGCCCCAGGCGTGAACTGGTCACTGGCTGCGGTGGCTGCGGCCGCCCCCACACCCGGTCCCAGGGGCCCAGCTCCTGCAATCCTCCCACTGACTTGTGGCCAAAGCCTCTCTCCCCTCGGTTCAGCTGGAACCAGACTGGAATTTTTCAACCAAACATTCCTAAGGAACGGAGGAGGGGGTGGGGGACAGACAACAAAAGCAGACGCACAAAAACAGGCCCAGAAATGGAGCGTGCCTGACCCGTGTTCCTCACTGCCATGGGGACAGGCCCTCGCGGCCAGCACAGCTGGGTGCCCTCAAGGCCCAGGAGGCGGGAGGGGCGCGGCCTGCTCAAGGACACCCAGCCGCAGAGGGGGTCAGTGAGAGAGCCCAGCCGCCCTCCAAGCCCCGGGCTGAGGCCCTCCCCGGCTCCCAGGCTGAAGAACCTCCAGCCCCATCTTAGACCCATTGTTCTGGCTGAAAATCTAGGCCAAGGCCGCAGTGGAGGAGAAGGCGTATTTCCGCCTCTGCTCCCTTGAACATCTCGAGATTGCAGTCCAGGCAGGTCACCAGGGAACCGGCTGGCCCCCCTCGGCCTGGTGCAGGGCCAGCGCGAGCGGGAGAGGTGGACGGGCGGGCAGCAGCGGGCGTTGTGGGACGCAGGGCCCGGCGGGAGGACAGCAGCTGCCCTAATTACTCCGGCTCTCCAGGTTCCAATCTCGTTTGAAAAGGACTCCAGGGACGCAGCCTTTAATAACTACCAGTAAACAGGCAGGAAAATCGATACCTGGTAAATAGAGCCCTGGAGAGAGGGCTGGCTGGGCGGGCTGGCTCTGACCCGGCCCAGAGGAGCTCCCAGAGTCCTTTGTTGTAGAGCTGGCCAACGCTGCCCTTAGGAACCTTGTCCCCGCCCCTACCCCCCGGGGGCCCCGTGTGAGCTTTGGCTCCTGATCCGGCCTCCACTCCCTCTCCGTGAACACGGACTCCTCCTCCTTCCCACTCCATCGGAGCCCTGACCTGTGCCAAGTAGGTTGCCTGTTTCAGTTGCAGATGCCTCCCTTGTGCCAGGCTTTGTGCCTGGTAGCTGTGGATAGCAGTCAGCCCTGACTGGTTTGGCTCAGTGGATAGAGCATCAGCCTGCGGACTGAAGGGTCCCAGGTTCGATTCCAGTCAAGGGCACCAAAAAAAAAAAAAAGCTGTGTATAGCAGTGAACAGAAAAGCACTTCCTGGAGGAGATGAGCTTGGGGAGGGTTTTGTTGGATGAATAGGAGTTTGCAAAGTGAACAAGGGCTGGGAGAGGCTGAATGTGAGTAATGTGTGTCATAACAACAGGCATCTTAGCTAACATTCATCTAGCACTTACTCTAGCCCGGCGCTCTGCTAAGCGCCCATGACATACAATATCTCACTTTGTCCCACAGTCGGTGTTACTACCCCCATTTTACAGATGAGAACACTGTATGTGGCTATATGTGGATCCAGAATTTGCACAGGGCCTGTGAGACTTCTGAGTTGTTTTAACCACTTCGATCTGCAACTCCCACACCTGATCCTGCTCGCTTTATTTAACCACAGAGGTGGTTAAATAAAGTGAGTCTTTATTTAACCACAGAGATGGTTAAATAAAGCGAGTTCCCATCCCTTCTCTTTCCTTCCCTTCCCATCCAGGGCTCACACCTTCCAGGTAACAGAGCACCTTGACCCTCAGCAGGAGGCTAAGGGCGCTACTTCAGGCACATCAGACCTGAAGATCATCTCTCATGAGCCCCCATTTTGCAGACAGGGAAACTGAGGCCCTGGGAGGAGGAGACCAGGACTCAGGAGCAGAGGCAGGAACAGGAGCTGGGATTTCCTCTCTAAGTCATCCCCTCTCAGGCCTGCCCTGGAAGAACACTGTTGTCAAGGGAAAAAATCAATAGCACACACTCAATTAACATGATAAATCAGACATCAGCAGGAGGCTGCCTGGAGGCCCCGGGGAACTTTCCATATGATTGGCTGGAACATTACAGGGGCCCAGGGACCCATCCCCTCCCTGCTCCTCCCACATCAACCGCTGCAGCTCTGTGCCTCGATTTCCTCAGCTCTTGGGGTCAAGGCAGTTGACACAGGGTAGAGGAAGTCCATAGCCCTTGGATTCTAAGTTCTAACAGAGAGAGCCAGCCAACATGGCTCAGTGGTTGAGCATTGACCTATGAACCAGGAGGTCACGGTTCAATTCCTGGTCAGGGCACATGCCCGGATTGTGGGCTCGATCCCCAGTGGGGGGGCGTGCAGGAGGCAGCTCATCAATGATTCGCTCTCATCGATGTTTCTGTCTCTCTCTCATCCTCTCCCTTTCTCTCTGAAATCAATAAGAATATATTTTAAAAATAAATTCGAACAGAGAGAGAGCAGGACCCAAGTGAGAACAGTCTGAGGAATCTGAGCCAGTGGAGTGGGGAGCAAATGCAAAGGCCCTGAGGCTGGCAGCGTTGGGGATGTCTGAGCAACAGCAAGCAGGTGAGGGAGGCTGGAGTGGAGTGCGAGGGGGCCTGTGTGGGCCACGTAGGGCCTCGCAGGTCATGGCCAGGACTGTTATGCCAAGTGAGCCAGGGGAGGATTTGGGGCAGAAGGAGGACGCAAGCTGACTTGCACTGAGCAGGACCGCTCTGGCTGCCATGCAGGGAACAGATGACAGCAGGCAAGGCCAGAAGCAGAGACCGGCCATGAGGCTACTGCCATCGTCCAGGCGGGAGACATACAGCGGCTTGGACTGGGGAGAATCGGGGCAGTGGGGGAGGAAGGCTCCGGTGTGGGATGTATTTGAAGGCAGAGGTGACTGGGTTTACTGAGAGACGAGGCATGGGCTCTGAGGGAAGGAGTGAAGCCCGCGTTTCGGGGGTTGGTGGCGAGAGCAGTGGGAAGGACAGAGCTTCAGTAACTGCAACAAAGAGGCTTCAGGAGGCGCGGGTTCGGGCGGGGACAGATCGGAGCTGTGCTTTAGCAGAACTAAGTTTGAAAAGGTGCCGGGGAGGTGCCGAGGGGGCAACTGGACACACGCGCCTGGCACTCAGCCAAGAAGATGTGGCTGGAAATGACCAACTTTAGAATCATCCGAGACAGGACAGTATTTGTCTTGATTGTTCCTTTTCTCAGCCCCACAAGGAAGGTCTGCTTGCGCCCATTTTAGAGAGGAGAACAGGGAGGCTCAGAGACGCCGAGCCACCTGACCATAGCACACAGCCGGAAAGTCAGGCAGTCAGGCCCTGAAATGAGGTCAGCCTGCCTCCCTGCCCCGGGGCCCTGCCCACACCCTGTGCTCTGTGGCTCTTCTCACCGAATCCTCCCAGCAGCCCGAGGTGAGAGGGGCAGGGTGAGTCACAAAGTAGCATCACCTTCATTTTCGAGATGGGCCCACTGAAACCTAGAGGGGCTTAAGGGACTTGCCCACAGCTGAGGAGCAGTCAGGTTTGCAATTTTCCGGCGGGCGTGCCCGATGAACCCAGCCACAGAGTCTTTCCACGCTGGCCCCAGGCCAAAGGCGCTGAGAAGTCCTGCAGCCTGGACATGGAGTTATCTCTGCTGAACCCCGTGTCCCATGGAGCCTTGCTCTCGGGGAGCCCCTGGAGCTTTGGGAGCCCAGGAGCAGGGGTTGGGAGCGAAGCCTCCGTGACCTGGTTTTTGAAATGGGGCCGTGGGTATCCACCTGGCTGGGTTACCATGTGTTTTTTACGTTCTTTTCAAATGAGCACTGGGCATGGAGTCCTCCAAAGAGCAGATGTCAGCGAATGTTTGTTAAAGGAAGGAGCAAGCGAACAAACAGATGAAGGAAAAAAACCCCTAAGTGGACAAAGGAATGGACCGGTGCAGGGATAAGCAGAAAGGCAGGAGGGAAGTGAGGAGAAGGGATCCATGTGTGAGCTAATGAATTCACTCTTACGTTCAACAAGTACCTCTGAGCCCTGACTGTGTGTAGGTGCTGGGAATACAGCTGCGAATAAAGCAAAGTCCCTGCATTGTGGTGGTGACAGTCCAGCCAGAGGAGACAGAAAGCAAGATGAGTAGGTAAAATAGAAAGTAGACCAGATGGCGAAAATGGAGGAAGGAGAGAGGGGAGGGAAAATGTGGACAGGGGCGCACATTTAAAACAGGATGGTCGTGAAGGAAGGAATGACCACGCATGGATAACGGAGTCAGGGAAGGGGTGAGAGTCAATGCAGGTGTGAATGCAAGCATGGTGGCTGGCCGCGGGCATGGGTGAAGGGACCAATGGGAGGACTGTTGAATGAATGAACTGAGGAAGACATGACTGTGTGGACTAGGGCAGGAAGAAATGAACGCGCTAAGGAAAGAATGATGGGATGAATGAGTGAAGTAATGAGGGTCTGCATGCCACCCAGTGTCTGCATGGATCTCTGCCCCCGCCCGGGTGCTGACTCTGCTTGACCTTGCCTGGGGAGCCCCCCCCACCCCCACCCCAGGGCCGCGATGTAGTTCGGTGCCTGGCTGGCCCCTGGGAGAGGGAGGGAGCCTGCCCATCCTGCCCCGGCCCTGCCTTGCTGACCTGCATCGCGTGCTGTCCTGACACCACCTCTGTGGACCCTCCATCCCCGCCCTGCACTGCTCTCTCCCACCCGCTCTGTACTGCCCCTCCTCCCCCACCCCCACCCCCAACGCCCCTCAGCCTCGGTCCTGACTCCTCCCGCTTGTGAGCGCAGGCACCATGCGGCCCGTGCGGCGCAACTTCTACGACCCCTCGTCGGCGCCGGGCAAGGGCATCGTGTGGGAGTGGGAGAACGACGGCGGCGCCTGGACGGCCTACGACATGGACATCTGCATCACCATCCAGAACGCCTACGAGAAGCAGCACCCCTGGCTCGACCTCTCGTCGCTCGGCTTCTGCTACCTCATCTACTTCAACAGCATGTCGCAGATGAACCGCCAGACGCGCAGGCGCCGCCGGCTGCGCCGCCGCCTGGACCTCGCCTACCCGCTCACCGTGGGCTCCATCCCCAAGTCGCAGTCGTGGCCCGTGGGCGCCAGCTCGGGCCAGCCCTGCTCCTGCCAGCAGTGCCCTGCTGGGTCAACAGCACGCGCGCCGCCCTCCAACGCCATTCTTGGGCCTCGCAGCGCCCGCAAGGCCGCCCCCCGGCCGCCTTTCGTCGGCCGGCGTTGCCCCCCGGGGGGCCCCCCGCGCTTTGTTTTTTTTTTCGCCTTTTTTT